GAAAGTATTCCCAGGTGGTTCAGATAAGGACTGGAACTCATAGATCACATGTTTAGGCTCTATAAATCCCTAGTGGAGAAACACTGATCATCGTGGTTATAAAGTTCATTCCGGGATATGCCACAAGGATCTTTTCTTTTAAAATAAAAATAGAAGAAATCATTGAAGTGGACAATTTGTACTTTTTGCAGCATGTCACCATTGTGGCTTTTGCCTTTCCTTTGTGTGGAAAAAGTAGTTCATTTCATATTTTAAAGCAGCCGATGACAGTCTTGAGTGTCAGATTTTTATAGTGGCATGTACTGTTGTTATCTTTTTGCTTAGGACTTGGACTAAGAAAATAATTCTTCTTTCATGCATTTGGACTTTTGATTTGATTTCTTTATGCCTTATTTTGAGCTTGAAAATATTCCACCCCATTTTGAAATATTTCAAGTACAGAAAGACTTGGATGCTGTTGTTTCAGACAGGTAGAACTATTATCATGATATGCCAAGCTGTTATTAAACAGGACACTTTTGACTCTGTACTCTGTACCATTGTCCTTCTAAGCATACAAAAACCTTTTTTCTCTCACAAAAGATGGTGCAGTGCATAAATCAGATGTGGAGCACAGCAGCGTTATGACAAGGGATCTTTTTCAGCGTGTAGCGAGCGTGGCACAGTGGTGACTCAAACGGTGATACAGGCAACCTTTTCAAGATTGATAGATTGGTAATGTGCTAAATAGATAGAAGAGCATTGCAGAATGCAGCTTTGTACCAGACATGATAAAGAAATGAATGCCACCTGATGTATGAAAGCTATTGCCCCTATATCATCCGGTGCAAATGGGGATTTCAAGTGACTGCCAAACTGGTTTGGTGACTTGCTGCTGTGACATTTAAATAGGATTTTCTGAATCATACATCTTTACTGGCCAAAGGGCACAGTTTATATTGGGATATTTAAAACAAATTATATTAATTGGACTCTTTTAGGTCACAGTCCAATTTATAGTGCGGAGACTCTACTGATACAATCATGATGCCGTGAAAGGGAGCTTTAATAATGTTATAGTTTTTATTCAATATATGAGCTGATGGAAACTGTTTTTTTGGGGTCTACTTGAGATGCCATGAGCAACGTTCATAATGTATGCTTTTTTCATTAGCTTTCGTTTTTTTTTTTCTTTTACAGCTTACTTGGTGACCAAGAGACTTCTCCCTGAGGAGCCAATAAGTAGACGGCTCATGACTTCTGACCAGGATACAAAAGTTGTAGCTGAACCGCAGGTGCAGCAAGTTCAAGAAGCAAAAGAGAGTTCTCATCTGGTAGGTGTATTTTTCTCATGTTTCCACTAAGAATATCAATACCTTCTTTTAAAAAAAAAAAGCATAAACATGCTTGTTTTCAATCTGCATAGCAATATGACCAAATATGTCTGGTTTTCATATTGTGCAGAGCCGTGTTTGGACTCTGAATTATTGATGAGCAGTTGCTGATCTCATTCAGAATAATCTGTAGAATAACAGCCTATTCCTGGCACATATCCTTTGAGTCTTACGAAACCGGTCACTGAGTTGTTTTGATAGGGATTGGTCAAGGATATCCCATACGTATTTAGTGGAGCTCATTTCCAGTGATTTGCTGTAGGGATTGGAATCCTTAACATGATGTCCTTGATTTAATGATTTCTGTTTATTTAATATTGCAAGATACATACATACTTTCTGCATATAGTTTAATTCAATTTATGATATGCTTCTAAAACTCATAATTTCATCAAATTCTTTACGATTTAAAAATGTAACCTCTGTAATTTACAGTATTTAGACTGGAATTAATTTGTGCCAACCCTCCAGTTAGTGGTAATTCCTAATTTTAAAAATACAGAAATGCTTCAGTTCTTCCATTATTTACAGTACCTTGACTTATAGCTATGGACTTTCCTAATGTTTTTCTTCCTCTTTTTTATTCAATAATGAGTAAATATGGAAATGTTTTTTAGTGTCTTCAACCTATATGCAGGAAATTCTGTATTATGTCTGTAATGAGTAAACATCCCCATAAATAGTTTCTGCAGAACAACTAATCAGACAAATGTCAGTTTTAGAGTGTTTATGTTTAGGTTAAGATTACCTCCCTCCTATTTAACCGAAGGACAAAATAATTCTAAGGTTTTATCTTGGTCTTTTTTTATTTTCACACTCATTCTTCAGTTTGAGTTGCTAAAAGACAGATGTATTTAGACATCATGTTTTTTTTAATTGTTTAGTGTACATAGATAATGTAATTGCTTTACACATACAAAACAGACTGAAAGTGATTTGTTTTTTTCTTTCTGGCTTGTGAGTTCCTTATGTTATTTGCCTTTGGAGATATCCTAAGAATACTTAAATTCTGGTTTGCCTATTTAGGGAATTTAGGTTAATCATAATATGTTGCTTCCTTTTTCTTTCTAAAGGATCTCAAAATACTTTACATATAGGAGAAGGCCTCTCTATCCACTTCTGACCTGCACCCACCTTATTAATATGTGCCAGCCATTATGTACCAGCAGCCCCACTACATAGTGCTTAAGGTGAAGAAGTGAACAGTTGCGTCACCAGTTGAATTAAGGGGGAACTTCAGGAAGGCAGGATTGTACAAATCCAGAGTGGAATTTCCTCCTGTACCACAGTGTTTCTGGTCATAATACTTGAGGATTAGGAAATTCGGAACCAGAGGGAAGAGTAATGTTGTTAGGAAACATTCATCTGTAGCAAAAATGGTATCCTCATATTCGACACTCACTGCCCACAGCTGGATTAAGCTTAACATTGACTGTGAATGAAATGTTTTCTTATATGAGAGCAATATTACTGCTTAATCACATAAACATCCTCTTTCTCTGCTCACCACCACTACATGAAGCAGTGTCAAGAAAACATTCACTCCTATCTGTGCTACAAGGCACAGAAAAAGCTATTTTGTAGTTGCAAAATTACAAAACAGTACTGAAAAGTTATCTTAATGTGTTTTCTGGAAGCGTGTGCTTCCTTGAGCTGGTACTTTTGTTCAAGTCTGCCATTATTTTAATAGAACAGCCTTGTTCTTTTGGTAATACCTTAAGGAAATTTGAGTATAGATTATTTCGGTCTAATCATTAAATTATATTCATTGAGAAAGGAAAGGCTAGTGTTATTATGCAGATAAAGTAATTCTGATTAGTGTTTTAATAAGTTGGAGGATGTGAATAATTGAATAAGGGAGGTTATTCTTTAAAATAGAATCAGGTCCTGACACCAGCTTGTCTTATATAAAATTATAAAATTAAACAGTTATGAATCACCTGTTTTAAGGGAATAGGTAGTGGTAATGCTGACAGTTGTTTTCTTTGTTGTTCTGCACAATATTGTAACAGACAGCAAAGGTAAAAATACAAATATTAATGAAAAAACAACGTTCAATACAATTCTGTTTAGATATTTGGAAACCTTCGAATATTGACACCTTACCTTTTCCCATCTATTAATCTGCCCTACATAGATTTTTCCTTATTCTGAATAGTGCATCACTAAAGACGTGAGAGCTTTATTTTAGCCTTGTGTATACCACAAAGAAGAATTAAATATTTCTACTGCTATAAGACAACACTGCCTTATCTAAACCCTAGAGTGTCCTCAGTGGACGTGGCTTGTCATTTGGTCTGTCATGGTGCTTTTCTGTCTTCCTCTTTGTGCATTTTAAGTCTAACCTGTATTCCATTCTGAACGTTTACCCTTATTTATCCTGCCTCAAGGCTCACTTTTCCTATGTATTCAAAAAGGCTGACATAACCTTGCTAAGAATCTTCTGTTAATTGTTAAATATTAGTCAAATTGCTTGGCCACGTGAATTTGTGGCCATTGTGATGTGACAAGGGACAGCTGTGCAAAAGTAAAGGGGTACTTTATGGTGAAATCGAAACATTTAGAAAATCCGACCCGTAACAGTATTGTAAAGACATAACATGTCCATCATGGTAAAGCCAGTCATCACATATTGAACATGAGTGGGCTATCCTTGACTGATCCCTGCCAAATTTTTCAAGTTCTTTTGGGAACGCATCTTATAGATTCTGTCCCAGGAAATGAGGGTTGCAGACAGGATTGCTGAAATCATCCACACAATATGCAAGTGCATTTGTGTCTACAGGTCATTGTGGGTTTGGCATTTAAATTGTGAGTGACAAGAGCATCTGAGTTCTTCACTCAGATATAAATGGGTTATTTTGGTCGCTGGGTGTTCTCTAAGGCAGAGGGCTGTTTCATTTACTTTGCAGAACATACTGCTTATAGTACCGGTCGGTATAAGTGGAGTACTGTTCTGAGCATGGGTTGCTGCTTTAGTAAAGAATTAAACACAAATCAGCCGAATGAAAGAACAAGCCTGCTGCAGACAACTGTTGAAGAGGAGTCAAATAAGGAAGGGGTGAGGAACCCGGACTCTGTTTTAGCTGAAATGGATATACACGAGGACCTCCTTGAGCATGTGGACAAAAGTAACAGGAGAGATTGCAGTTTCGCAACTGACCCATCAGCTAAAAAGAGCAGCTTGGAGCATGTGCCTAGTGAAAATTTATTTTGGACTTGTCCCATTCCCAATCACGGGACTCAGCATCCGCCTATTAATAAACCACTTTCTCAAAAGTGTACAAACAGTGAAGAAGGTGACGGAAAAACAGACATGAGCCAAAGGGACATCGGTTTTCAAAATCGCTCTATTGGAATATTTGCAGGAACAATTAATGGGGCTGAGGATAAGATTATCTCAGAAGATATGATAAGGGAAACTTCTGTGCAAGGAGTGCTTGCAAGTCGCACGGAGGAATCTGAAGAAAAGAGCTATGTTATTAATTCTGTAACAGAAATGCATTCAGAAAACCCGGTTCACTTCACACAGAAAAAAATGGCCAAGGACTTTTCTTGCCTTGAGAACTGTGTAACCTCAGACATTGAAAAATCTGCCATAAGAGAGAAATGTCTGAAAAACAGAAATACTTTAGAAGAAAGTACTTATATTTTGAAAGAGGAAACCAAGGGACTAGTGGATGAAACACCATTTCAACCAGGAAATAAAGACACTTTAAGTCTGAGGAATGAAACTTGTCTGCAAGAACACAGTTCGTGTTTCACTTCAAATGAGGGGCACAGTTTTAAAACGAGGACCCAGACTTTCTATAATATCTGTCCAATAGACATAGCTGATTTAGAACATGAGTGGGGATCACCTTTTGCCACACGGGAAGGGATTGCAGTAGACTTAAATCATTCATCAGCTGCAGAAAAGGGAATGTGGAATGTGGTGTGGTCTCCAACTATGGAAGATGGAATTTCAACACTGCAGCCTGTGAAAACAACAGCTGCTTTGGAGTCACAGCAGCCTGAGATTTCACTAGAAAATGGAGTGCACCAACACGTGCCGAGCTCATTGGAAAACAAGCCTATACGAGAGGACCTTTTTAACCAGGATGTGCAGACGAATTTTGGGACCACACGTGTAACAGGTCCACAGGCCTTGACGAGTGCAGACGGTGAAAACCAGAGCCGTTACAGTCTGACCTTCTCTGAAAAGGCAAAGAACGAAAAAGACGCATCTCCGAGTTTGACGGCTCCTTTGTCTGATAATGTGGATCTCCATGGCCCAGGGTGTAATGGACCAGATTGTGTGGTTATTAATGGGAAAGTCGGGAGTGCAGAAACCTGTTATAGCCTTAATACAGCGGAGAAACTTGGCGACTCTGGGCCCGACATGTTGGGGACATTTCTTCATGAGTCTATGGGAACGACTGATGCACAAGTTAACGTGCCACATGGCAGTCCCTCCAAGCTGAAATGTACTACGTGTTTATGTAGTTATGACATCAAATCTTGGGCTTTAAGTTCACAAGAAACCACAGGCATGTGCAAGTTCTGTGATACAAGAGCAAAAGTAAGAGCTCTCTTAAATATGCACAATATCCAGTCAGTTCAGTCTGAAACTGGGGATAAAAGACCTGGTCTTGATTGGTCTGGGCAGGTGAATAATGATACGGACACATTGGCTGCAGACTGCTCCACATATCCAAAGGAGATGGTAAAAGTGACTTGTGAAGAGCAGGCATTAAAAATACCTTTCAGTGCCACAACTTGTGCATTAAGTGTTTTAACTCCGGGCCAGACAGAAGAAACAGATGGCTTAAGTAACCAAGCCCACACAGGACAAGAGGCTTCGGAATCTGAGGGGAGCAGGCTAAAATATGATCTGTATGATAATTCAGACAGTCTCGCTGATGACGTGAATCAACACCTGATCTCTAATACTCAGAAGGATCTCTGTCACAATGGTGAAAATAAAGGAAATAAAAATGGGGCTTTACCAGCTGACTGCAATAGTGAGAATAGCTATCAGGCAAGGACTGAATTGGTCCTCCCTGATATTAGCAGCAGAAGAATAATGGAAAAAAGATCTGAATCTTACCCGTTAGCAACATGGGAGCATTTAGATGATAAAGGTAAAATATGCCTTAAACAGTCTGAAGCATTTGACACAGACAGTGATGTCAGCTCAGTTTCTATAGCAGCAAGGTCAGATGTGAGTAGGAGGGTATTACATTATAGCAAGACTGGATTATGGGATACATGTTTGCTTCATTTAAGTGGAGATGATTTAGACACAGCATTTGACTCTGTACACGCAGCGAAGGATACGCAAGAATCTACTGAATCTGTGATGCAGCAGAGTGACTTGATAATGAAACATGACACGGAAATCTGCCAGGAGGACTCTGAAGCTGCTTTTATAGCTCATAATGGAGGCAATACGTTAAATGACAACAGGGACTTGAATAACAAATGCCATGCACTCTCTCCTGTGCCAAAATGGCCTGCAGTGCTGGAAAACTGCAAGTGTGCATCTCGGAAAAACAGCTGGCCAGATCATGGCTTCTGTGCTGTAGATTCTGATCAGTGTGAGCCTTCTGATGGCAAATTATGCTCGTCTGCTGAATGCAAACAAGGAGTCTGTGAAGTACGAGATGCTGAGAGTGACAAGCAAGAGGCTGGAGTAGCAGAGGATTTTAAAGAAATACAGCTGCTTCATTTGCCAGAGGACTGGTCATCAACAGGCTTTAAAATAAAAGACCAAGTGGGAATTTGTAATGATACAGTTCATGAATTGCATAATTACCAGGGAACTGTCCTAGCTGATCAACAGCTGGAACAACGGAGTGAAGCACATGGGAGAGATGAAACCGGACTCGTGATGTCTGATACGGATATGAGAGCTGTCACACAACAATTTGCAAGTGATGTTATAATAAGTAACGGTGGTAGGAAAACTTCGAAATCTTATGATTCAAAGGACACGGTTAATGAAATCTGTAGCCATAATTTGGTGGCAAGTGCTGAAAAGGAGGTTATCCAAAGTGCTTTAAATGTGGATCCCGATCAGATAGATTTGTATGCCTCCACACCTTCTTACGAAATGCATCCGTTTACTGAAAAGGACTCTCTTGAGAATACAGAAACGGAAGAGCATCAGGATAGAAGTCACATACCCAAAGGTGACGGAAACGATGGCATGCTAAATGTGGTGTCAGACTTTTCAGAAAACAGTAAAGAAAAGCAAGAAAAGGGGGTTTCAAAGGATTTTCTGCCATGGCTGGAGGATCTGTCGCAGCATGAGGAGCTACAGCATCGGTTTTCTGGAGAAGGATCCCCAGAATGTCCAGTGGATACCATATGGAATATAAATTACTCCGATATTGCTATAGAGAGCAACCTGCTGCAGATGGCCAAACCCCAGGCATTTGTTGCACCACAAGATTTACAGGCTGCTGTAGCTTTCATGGCTGCTTATCCTTATAGTCTAATGGTTTCTGACAGTTCATGTTTGTGGGATTGGCAGCACGACTGCAGTGAACTTGTGAGTATTTCATTTTATATATATATTTTACAAAGTTGTGGTTTTTGCCTACATACCACTTTTTTCTTGTTGCATTTTGATTGTTCTTCAAAGTAATAGGTTTAGCTTTTTATCAGTCAGATGTTGATTAGCTTACTCCTGTCTACAGTTTCGATTTTTCAAACCTTGAAGTGAGAGCTTTTGGTCTGTTGAAGGTCAGTTTTTAGAGTTCGTTACACTTTTTTAAAATTGCCAACATTATGATATGGTCTTTATAAAATGCCTACCTACATGTAGTATAGATTGAATTATGATTGGGCCTATATTTTAAGCATACCCCATCCAAGACCAGTCAGTACCCAGTCTGAGCATGAGCTTGTCAAAATGTTTTCAAACTAGAGTCCCAAATATCCCAAATCCTGCAGTCTGTAATGTGACTAAGAAAACTAAGGCAAGTTATGTAAAGTCTGTTTATAATTTCTGGTTGACCTACATAAATGTCTTATATCTGTAATGAAAGAGTTGTTACTACTCCCTCAAAAAACAAACTAAACTTAGGTTTTTTTAGGTTCCTTCATTTTCCTTTCATTTCTTCTCTTACCCTGTGTCATTTTCGAATGACTTATTGAAATGTCTGACTTGTGAACCACAGACAGATCATTGTCCTTTCTGAGGGGTGCCAGTAGCCTCTTGCTTCTTCTGCACTGGCACACGTTCAAAGAATCCAGACCAACAAAGACAAAACAGAAAGCAAGCCAAAGCACAGCTGAAGTTAAGAGTATACGCAAGAGATTTTGAGGGCAGTCCTGGGTACAGTCAAAGTTATAAGTACTAGTGACTTATATAAAGGGGGGGAAAGGGTTTTGTCTGCTTCTATTTTGCATTTTTCCATGTCACAATCAGTTATTGTAGATATTTCCTTTGTGAATGGTGCAGATTTATTTTACAAAATATTTTTTTAATGTTTTTTTTCTGATATGCAAAGAGATTTCAGACACCAAAATGGAAGTTATCTGCGGTTGTAGTGGAGTCAAAAGTAAAGCTGATTCAAGTAATGGTTGAATGATCATCAAAGATTGAATGCCCATGTATAATGTGTAGGACCAGGTTTTTATGTGCTTTGGAAATTCAGTTCAATTTATTTTTATATAGCGCCTCTCACAACAAGGTTGCCCCAAGGCACTTAAAGCTGTGAGACAGTACATGACATTACTTGATATGTGTGTTTATTGCCACCACTCTTGTTAGGGCTGGAGACTAAGACCACCTGTTTATCTGCCTTTATCTGTAACCCCTTCATGTGCTAACAAGACATGTGGGTTTTGTTGTAGAATCTTATTTTTCAAAGTGAGCATTTTTTTTGTGAGAAGGTACTGAATCTGTATTTAGTTTCACTGTAGAAAAATAGTTGTGATCTGATTTGCTAGATCTTATGATTCAAAAATCTCTAAAATAGGAGTAAATTGGTTTATGAATGTCATTATGAATCTGGACTTTTGTAATGCAGAATTTAGGCCAGTCAGCTCAATTTTAACATGTTCTTCTGAGTGTGGGGGAAAAAGTGAAAAAACTTTCATTAAAACTGACAACATAGAAGGGTGAATTAACCTGCAATGAGAGGAGTCTTGATTTAAAATAGGATTTACATCTCAACATATTGAACAATATAACAATTTTTTGTGCTAAATTTCATCCAAATAAGCCATTACTCTTCTGTGTGTGTTTTTTGTTTTAAATGCAGCAGGTGTGAGATTGTTAAAGCTCCTATGGAGATGACATTCAGAAAATGAAAGCACACGGAACAAACCCTTTTCAACCATTTTTAGTTCAAATATTGTTTTGGTCAGAAATCTGTTGAATTTCAGAAATTTGTTTACATGGGGGTCTTGTCAGATGAGGTATTTAGTGAGAATTTATCCCTGTGTTTTGAGATAGCACTGCCACACCCAAGTCTTTATATTTATTGCAAGAAGAGTGAAACATAACTCAACATGTGCAGCCTAATTCTGTTGTTTGAATTTTTTCTCATGTGCTCAAGGTGCTTTTAGAGATGAAATTTCATGTTCTTTAATCTGGTGTGTTGGACCTGCTGCTGAAAACCACTTTATGTAACTTTCTACAAACTGTTTGACATCAAACAGGATTTGTCCTATGTTCAGGGCAACATATTGCTGTGTGTAGCTGTAGACTTGATCCTTTCTGAGAGGGTGGGATTTTCCTTAAACATTGTAATTTCACCAAGAACAAGTTTATCAATGTAAAACTACGTTTAAGGTTTTAAGGTTTTAGTTGTGTAGGAACTCCGTTTTCAGTACTCATCCTAAAGACAAGACTTTAATTCCAACCCGTCTCTTAATGACCAAAACGGATCATGGCTGGTTTGATGGGATCATTTTAACATCATTGCCCTTCTCTTCAGTTACTGCTACTTTGAGAGACAGAGACTGAGAAAACATTCAGACACATCAGGACAGGACATCGCTGCATTAAGATATTTTCACTTTTTCATACTCATTTAAATAGTTGTGTAATTCTTTTTGAATATGGAAGGTTTAGCTTATCATGCCATACCACATGGGTATTTAAATTGCTAGGTGTTTTGAAGTATAATTTGATATATGTGTTTTTGGTGATTTCCCAGCATTAGTGAAACACAACAGTCTGTGAGCATTATTTTATTAATATTTCAGAATATTATTAAACAAGTACCAAAACAACTGTTCCCTCTGCGTACAAAATCCCCTGCAGGATGTTTTAATTTTAACTTAGTTCTATTTTTTTTCTCTGTCACATGGCTTTTGGGTTGGCATGTATCATGTCATCTCTTTACTTAAACTGCCATGAATTAAACAATTTTCCGAAGGCTTTACATCTGTCCATATTGCTGACGTACACACGTTATTATTATTTGAATTAAACCCAGCAGTAACCTTCTGAAAACTTTAATATATTTATAGTACCTTTAATATCAAAGCATCTCAAAACAGTTTACACTGAAGACACAATCAACAGTACATAGAACATGTTGAGACGCAGATAATTTGATTTTCTGTATTAGGTTACGAAATGCTAACTTGAAGTTTTTTAGTGACTTTTGAAGATGGAAATACTCTTACATTCTTGGCTGAAGTCTTCGTTAATATAGTTACTTGTAGGGTGTGTACAAAGATCTATTACCCAGAGTATGGTATCTTGTAATAAGGATGCACAGCTTGCCAGGATTCACATGGGGAGCTGTAAATGGGGGTGGTGTGGTGGCACTGTGGCTCAGGAATTACGCCTGTGGCTAGAAGGTTGCTGGTTCATATCCTGCATCCAGCAGAGGAATCCTACTCCGTTGAGCCCCTGAGCAAGGCCCTTAAGCCTTACTGCTCCAGGGGCGCCTTATAAATGGCCGTCCCTGCGCTCTGACCCCAAGCTTCTCTCCCTGTCTGTGTTTCTCATAGAGTGCAAGTTGGGATGTGCGAAAAGACACATTTCTAATGCAAGAAATTGTATATGGCCAATAAAGTGATCTTATCTATCTTAATTCAGAATGGCGCACAATCCCTTACTGCAGGTCTTTTAGGTAGAGAGGACCAAACTATTCATCCTTAACATTTCCAGAAATGTCTTTTTAAGAACATAAGAGATGTTGCAAACAAGATGTGGACATCTAGCCCATTGACCAGGTAATTCATCCAAGGATCTCATCTCTTCGTTTCGTGAAAAAAATCTGGATATTGGCTTCTACAGTTTGTATAAATTTTTAACGTTTAGTGTCTAAGAACGGTGGTGACATGGCTGACATGCTTTGTTTTACCTATTTATGTCTAAAATTAAAAGTTTTATATATGTCATAGAACAGGATAGAAAGCAGATGTTTCTGTTTTTTTAAAAACCATGGCTTCTTGTGTCTCCAATGGTGTGTAAGGCGCCTACTGATGTATTTTTAATTAAGGCTGTGTTTTCATTAGCCTGCAGACTGTGAATATCCATTTGGAGTTTATGGAACACTTGGAATATTTAAAACTTTGTGTTTGATGTTTAAAATTGATTTATTAAGTACTTGTCCTTTAATCAGCCAAATGTCTGTCAGAAGTTTGGAATGTCTTGAACAAAAGGACTAGTGTTAAAATCAAAACATGCTGTCACCTTGCCCTTCAGAAAAATCAACAGAGGTAGTGCTTTTATTGATCTAATTTTCAATGAGGGTGAGGTGGGGGAATAGAGGTCAGAAAACCGTTAGGGAACAGTGACCACACCGTGTTTTTTACAGAGGTAAATTTTTTTCAAGGCATTTATTTCAGGCGAGCTGTCTATGAAGCAAAATAGGTCAATTGCCGTTTAAGATTACGACCGTGAGCGTTCTTTCCACAGTCAATGTAAGGTTTTCTTAAAGTGACAATACATCATATACCTATTTGTGGTCTTGCGAAGTTATGAAGCTTCTTGAAGAAGTAGCAAAAAAGTTAATTTGTTAGATTAAATGTGACTGTTGAAAATTTGTATGAAAAGTAATTCAACTGTTATGATTTTCTATATGTCTTCCCCACCTTCTTGTATTTTACTAATGCATGAGAAAAAGCAATTATTGTAAGTCTTGAGATCTACAATAAAGTATACAAAAATAATACATTGTTCAGATATTTTCAGGCAGTCGCAACAATTTCTCTTGTTGATCTTCCAAATTTAAAACCCTTCACATTATCAATGATCTATTGCACACTTGCTGAAAGTGAAAACTTTTTAAAACTGTTTCAGGGCCTCTTACCTTAAGACGTTCCAAATTGACAGCAGTAAGTTTCTGTCATGAAGCACAGTGATTAATTACACGATTCCATATTAAATGTTCCACATGCAAAGAGAAATAAGCGATTGGAATCATTGACAGTGTTACACTCATATTTCTGTTCGATTTGTTAAAGAAAAAAAAGTGTTGTTAACATAACCATTGTTCAATCTTTGTTGAGAATGATGAAGATATTGTTGGAAGCATCTGCTAAAGGATGGTGCCCCTGAGCTAATAATCTTAGGCACTA